GGCGCCACTAGCGATCAAATGTCGCGAGAGTCTTGCGGTAGGGGGCGTGGCCCGTCAGCGGGGCGTGGCTCCCGTGAGGGGCGTGTCCCCGCCCGGCTCGTCGTTGCCATGGCAGAGCGTCTCCGGCACTCCACTGACCAGTATCCGTGGTGTCCTCAAGACCCAAGGCTTCCCTTAAGCAGGGCTTTCAGCTCCGGTGCCGGTCATCCACCACGGACGACCTAGGCCTGGCGAGAACTATGCCCGAGGCCTGCCTTTCCGCAGTGCCTGCAGGCAGGGCTTTGGCTCCGCGAGAGCTTCTGGCTGCACCTCTCACCTTTGCCAACCACATGCTGGGCCGGTTAGCTCCTGTTCAGGGTGGACGCCCTTCCTCCTCCCCTCTGTCCCCCCTCCCCCGCCACTTTTCAGAGACATTTGTCCAGAAACAGGTGCAGATGCCTTCATCAGCGGCGAGGTCCCTCAGGAACTAGCCTCTCACAGATTGCAAAAACAGACCAGTAAGGAGTTCCGAAAAGTTAGCGCTTCTAAAAGCAGAGGAAAACGGAGAGAAATGGATGATATATTTCTTTAGGACTCTGAAAAATAAAGGGTTGCAGCATCTCAAACAGATGTATTAAGAAAAGCAGCTAAATCTCAGAACAGCAAGCTTCTCATACACTACTAACATTGCTTCGTCCCATCAGCAATAAGCCAACTCCAGCTCACAGCGGCCTGAGAGCACAGGACAGGTTTCCTGGCTGGACTGTCCTCTCCTGCCATGCAAGTTGCTCGGGGCTTTGAACTACTGACCTTTCCATTAGCAGCCAAGCATATGCTGAGGGTTCAGGTAAGCATAGCCTTGCAAATGAAGTCTACATTCTTGGTGAGAGTGGAGAACAAAATAACCTCATGGAAAGAGAAATGCCATTCTTTAACCTGACATGTGATTCTCTGCATGGTGCTGCTATCAAGGCCAACTCGAGTGTGTGGGTACTAACAGCTGTCTTCCTGAGCCTGTGTCCCCAAGGCAAATACAAGCATTTCACTTTCATGGCTATGGCAATGGGTAGCCATTAAGGTGACGATTGTTGAATCACTTATGATTCATAATGACTTTATGAAGAACAGATCTGAACCTTGCCTTATTCTGTGCCATCCTCATAAATCTCTGATACACTGGAGCCATCACGGTGTTACTTCATCTCATAGTCTTCCTCTCTTCTACTGACCCTCCTTTCCAAGCATGATGTCCTTTTTCAAGGAATAGCCTCACCTAACAGTATACCCAAATTATGTGAGAAGTTTCATCATCGCCTCCAAGGAGCACTCTGACTGCACCTTCTCCAAGAGGTATCTGCTTGCTATGTTGGTCTTCCATGGGATAGATTAACTAAAAAGATTAACATCTAGGGAATAAGATGCACATAACAAAAACAAGTACCTCCAGTGGTTTAGTGGTAAGGAGATGCCTTGCTAACCCAAAACGATTATAATTTGAATCCATTGGCAATTCCACCAGAGAAAGTTTGACAATCTCTTTCCATGTCATTTACTGCTTCTAAAAACTCATGGGAGGCTCAACTGTCCACCAGTTCCAACTTGGAAGTACACACTCCCACCAAACCTCACAGATACCAAATCCATTTCTGTTCCATTGGGCTTCCCAGGCTGTAAACTGAAATGCCATGACCCCCATCGGGAGCACCTTAGTCTTTAAACAGCTATCTTTTCTCTTTAAAAAGGGCCTTGATAGTAGATTTGCCCAGTGTTGTACATTGATTCCTTCACTGCTACTCACGTTGATTGTGGATCCTTGGTGAGGGACAAGCTCAAATGCTGGCAAGGGTGTGGATTGCTGTGGGGAGGCAACATGGTACAACTATGGTGGAAGCTTTTTACACAGATAGATGCACGTCGCCTTGCCTATGATTGAGCCAGTGGAGGTTCTGGGTAGTGGCTCAGGAGATGAAAACCTGCACAGAGGCATGGATAGCCGCTGTTCATAATCACCTGTGCTGTGGGACCGGCTTGACATAACCCTTCTAGCCACATCCTGTACTTGTGTGTTAACAAGCCTCTGCATTTGTAGCAATTGTGGGGATGGTGCAGGGCCAGCCATTGTTAGTGCCAGTCTGTCATACACAGGGTCACGAGGTACAGGGGGTTCATGTGGTATGCAGGGGTGAGGGAAGCCGAATATCAAATTTAATAATAGTAGACCAAATGCTGTATTGGGAAATGAGGGAGGCTTAATACAAGCTGAAGGTCACCTTGTGACACTGGGGCATGCCTTAGGAGTCAACATTGTTCTTAGTTTGTATCAAATGAATCCTTCCCTCTTGAGATTAACATAAAGAGGACCTTGGCCTTATCTGTAAAAGATTTCCTTTGTTTTGTACTTCCTTGTGATTCTAAATAAACTCAGAGAAGCATGGCTTGAGGTCTTCAATCGAGAACTGCTGACACACACTGACACACACACACACACACACACACACACACACACACACACACGTTTTTACGCTCTCTGCTCTATCTCATTCCTGGCTGTTTGTCTCTTTATTAATAAAGTTATTCTATTCTTTGGGACCCTCGGTCTGCAACACAGGGGTCATGCTACTCAAGGTCACTGTGCATAAGAACAGACTGGAAGACACCGGACATACAGGCTTACCCTTCTGCCATTATTCAAGTCATCATCTTTTATTGACTTACTGAAGTGATGCTCTTGCTCAAGTCACTTTATCTTACAAGACGTAAGAGAGGTGCTCGCTTTGGCAGCACCTATTCCAAAACTGGAATACAGAGAAGATTAGCATGGTCCCTGTGCTAGGATGACATTCAAATCGGTGAAGAATTCTGTCTTTTGGTTTTTGTTTTTGTTTTTTTTCAAAGATGCAAGAGAAGCAGGGCTCCCACGATCACCAAGTAACAGAACCAGGAATAAAGTGTACCCTTTGGAGCCAAAAATCTGCGTGGAGAATCTCCTGATCCCAGGAAACAAGAGAGTGAGCTGTGTCGCTGGAGACGGCTGCAGACAGCCCGGAGCAGGACAGCAGCAGTAGGTAAGGCAGTGGAACCCGGAGGATGGTCGGATGCGCTGAATAAGCTGAGCACGTTTGGGTCAAAGCTTCTGTGCAGTCAGGTGTCTCTGGGCTCTTGTCAGTGGAATGAAGTCTAACATTTGTCAGCAGAGGACAGACTGGCCCAGTCTGAGGGCCCAACGGACATTACCCAGCTGGGGGCTGGGAAGAGGGCTCTCTGTGGCATAACCAAGAAGCTGTCCTGACTGAAGACTAGCTTGTGTCATTACTTGTCTTGTAACTTACATTCCTAATAAGCCCCATGGTTGTATTGTTCAGTTCTATGCATCGCAGGGGGTTATCAAACTAGCAGAGGTATAGTATGCCTTGCTGGGGCAGTTGTCAGAATTGGTAGACACTGAAGTGGTGGGGCTGACCTCTGCCCTGTGGGGAACCACCAGCCTTGGGTGATCAATGCTTAAGGTGATTCTCGTTCCGCCTGCAAAGTTAGACCACAGGTCAGATGTTTCTTCCTAAATGTTACTTCTCACACTGCACAATCCTGGGAGAAACCAGTGTGCCTTTCAGCAGGTAAGTGGGTGGAGTGTGTCTGTTGTTGAGAATGGCTTTCTATTGCCCTTGACAGTACCACATGGCTGGACGCACATGTTAAACCATGTGCTCACCTACGGCTATTTTTTCTCCATTTACGATTTAAATTGAGCAGGTTCAGTAGTACAATCTTGGAATCTCACTACCAGCAAGAAGGCAACAGAGAATACTGTACGCAAAAAGGGGCCAGATAGTTCCACACCTCAGATGAGGGCTTACAGAAGCAGTAAGTGAGCATCAAAGACCAGTCTGTGCCACAGCTGACCTGAGAATAATGCCCCATGAAGCCGGAGCCAGGGACCTCGGCGCAAGGTTTTTGGAGGATTAGGGCAAGGAAGTCGCCAAGACTAAGAACTCTGTGACAATGGCCTAAAGTTGCAAGGCTGAAGGGCCTATGAGCACACTTCTGATGTCCTGAGAAATCCCTAATAAACCTCATAATCCTGAGTGGGGTTCTATGTTGGTATTGCAATGGATTTCAGACCCAGTAGGACAGGATTAGTGCTGAAATTAGCAGTAGGGAGGGAGTCTGATGGCTCCTGTGCAGGGGAGCTCAGACTCAGTCACCCTCACACTGTCCTCGCTGTAACAGCATAAACACACTGGAGCGTCCTTACAGCAGAGATTACTCAGTAGTAAAGCGCTGTCCAGCCTGAAGGCATAGCAGACCCTTCCTTACAGGGTGAGTCTAAGAGCCAGACCCTAGCTAGATGACATCATTCTGGAAAGGGAACACATGCTGGAGACAAATGGTTGCCAGGGCTTGAGGCTGGGGTGGATCTACTCTCTGTAATGCTGTACATACAGGATATTCAGTCCAAACTAGAGGAGTGTCCAGCAGAGTGAGCCCCAGTGTTAACTGTGGACTTTATAGAAGTTGATCGGTTGTTATATAAAGTATCACAGTAATGTGAAGTGTTAAAAAGCAGAGTAGGGGGAGCTCTGGTGGCCTAGTGGCAAGAAGGCTGCACTGCAATCCCAGAGGTGCATGGTTCAAATTCACTAGATGTTCTGCTGGAAGGACAATCTCCTCCTGTATCGGTCAGATCTGATTTGACGGTACACACAAAAAAATAATAAAAAATAAATAAAAAGTAAAGAGTATGTGGTTAAGGGGGAGAACATGATAATGAACTTGCAGTGCTTTTTCTGCAAACCTAAAAACGTACAGAAAATCAAAGCAACTATATCATCTCACCCCAGTAAGAACAGCAAGCAGCAAATGCTGGCGAGGTTGTAGAGAAACTGGAACCCTTATTCACTGCGGGTGGTTGTTACATGCCATCGAGTCGCTTGCGACTCATAGCGACCCTATGTACAAGAGCCCTAAACGCCGTTCTATCCTGTGCCAACCTCACTGTCTCAAACACACTCATTCCCATCACTCCAGTCACAGAATCGATCTCATAGAGGGTCTTCCTCTCCTGCACCGTCCCTCCACTCTCCCAAACATGATGTCCCTCTCCAAGGTCCCTCCTTGCAACATGCCCAAAGTATGTCAGATGAAGCTTCAGAATCCTTGACTCCAGGGAGCATTCTGGCTTCACCCTCTCCAGGACAAACCTATTTGTTCTCCTAGCAGTCCATGGTATATACAACACTCTTCTTCAGCACCACAGCTCAAAGGCATCAATTCTCTATCATTCCTATTCACTGTCCAACTCTCTGATGCATAGCACATAATTGCGAAGACTATAGCCTGGATCAGGCGCACTTAGTCTCTAGCCTGATGTCGTTGGACTTCAGTACTCTTGAGAGGTCCCTCACAGCCGACTTTCCCAATGCAATTCGTCTCCTGATTTCCTGGCTGCTGTTACCAAGAGTGATGACTATGGAACCAAGTAAACAAAAACTGTTAACTATCTCAATCTCTTCACCATCCATACTGATGCTGCCAATTGGCCCAGTGGTGAGAATCTTTGTTTTCTTGATACTGAGTTTCAATCCATATTGAAGACTGCAGTCCTTGACCTTCTGCAGCAAGCGCTTCAGGTCCTCCTGTTTCAGTGAGCAGGGTTGTTTCATCTGCATAACGCAGGTTGTTGATGATTCTTCCACCAATCCTGATGCCACATTCCTCCTCATACAGCCCAGCATCTCGGATGATCTGTTCTGCATACAGATTGAAAAGGTATGGAGACAAAATACATCCCTGACGGACCCCTTTCTTGATTTTGAACCATCCAGTGTCTTCCTACTCTGTTCTGACTGCCTCTTGGTCCAAGTATAGGTTTTGCATTAGCAAAATAAAATGTTCTGGGATTCCCATTCTTCTCAGAGTTAGCCACAGCTTGTTGTGATCCACACAGTCAAAAGCCTTTGCATAGTCAATGAAGCATAGATAGACATTTTTCTGATATTCTCTGCTTTCTGCCAAGATCCATCTAACATTAGCCATAGTATCCTTAATACCACAACCTCTTCTAAATCCAGCCTGCACATCTGGTAGTTTTCCATTGACACATTGTTCCAAACGTTTTTGGATAATTTTCAGCAGAATCTTCCTTGCATGTGATGTCAATGACATTGTTCGGTAATTTCCACACTCTGTTGGGTCACCTTTCTTCAGAAGTATAAAATGGTGCAACCACTGTGGAAGGTGATGCAGCACTTTCTCAAAAAGTTGCAAATAGAGATACCATTTGATCCAGCAATTCCACTACTGGGAATATACCCGAGACCATAACTGCCACCCAAGCAGACATCTGCCCATCCATGTTTATCGCGGCTTTGTTCACAATAGCAAGGAGTTGGAAACAAACTAAGTGCCATCAACATATGAATGGACAGAGAAGCTCTGGTATATTCACACAAAGGAATACTACACTGCATTGAAAAACAAGGAACCCATGCAGTATTATTCAAAATGGGTGACCCTGGAGGACTTGCTGAGTCAACTATCTCAGTCACAATAGGACAAATCCTGCGTGATGCCACTGTTGTAGAATGGGACTGACATTGGGGTTGAGAGAAGACTAAGAAAGGCGGGTTAAATAATGCATACTGCATTTAAACTGATGAGGGAGAAAACGGTTTAAAAGAGGTATGTGATTAGATACTTTTGTCATGACGGGAGTCCAGAGTGAAGGCTGCATAGTAAAGTGGACCTGGGGGGTTGGATTGTAAAACAATGAAATAATTGTTCTTTTACTTTTCCAAGAGGTGAGTGTACTTGGGGGTGGGGGGAGGGTTGAAAGGTGCAACAATGAATGGAAAGCCAGTCTCTGTAAATTTTTTTTTTAAAAAGGTAGGGATAATTGCCGTAGACACTGCCCAGTGAGCACAAAAAGAGGCTCAACATTATCGATACCCAGGGACATGTATATGAAACCCACCACGAACTACCACGCCATGCCCACCAGGCAGCATACTTAGTCTTTAACGTGAAGAGCAGCAGTCAAAAAGTCAAAAGAAATTTTGCCTTGGGGAAGTGTGATGTCCAGAAACTATAAAGTTCTGAAGAACAAGACTTTAAGTTGTGCCTGATATGAACCACAGGATTTTCAAATGCTTTATTTCCATCTGAAAGTTGGACAATGAATAAGGATTACGTTAACTGTTGTCTTTAAATTGTAGTTTTGACTGACGGTACTGAATAACGAAAAGACAGCCAAAATAAACAAATCTGGAGGAAGCACACCAGAATGCCCTTTGGAGGCATGGCATCTCACTCACTTTAGGCCTATTTCCAGCAGCAACCAGTCCTTGAAAAGACGTTACACTGAGAAAAACCAAAGTGAGGAAGACCTTGATGAGATAGACTTGACAGTGACTATAGTAAGATGGCTCCTGAGTAAAGCTGGGCACAGGACACTCAAGTCTGAGGGTATCCTCTGTTCAGGGCCCTTCTGTCCACACAGGCAGGTATGACCAAGAGTCTGAGACAGCTCTGTCCTCACTCACTCTCAAACTAAATTAATTCTCTTCTGCCCCAAAGCATGTCCCTACCCCTCTGTGTTCTCTAACCTTGAGTTCAACCCAAGCTGGCCTGGCTCCCAGAACATCCCTGTCCACTGATGGCCACTAGAATCATCTTCTGGAGCTCCTGGAGCAGGTAGTGCCCTCCCTGGCTGGCCCTAGGACTCACCGCACTGGGCCTGTGCAAGTGAGGCCCTCAGGGAGGGCTGGGCCCAGTGTTGCGGTTGATGCTGCATTCCCACAGCCCCACTCCTCATCCCCAGCCCAGCACCAGGCTGAGACCCATGGAGGGGCAGGGTCCACAGTGGCCCTTCTAGAACTGTAGCAAGCAATGGTCTTGTGCTACCCACCCTCCCACAGCTGGGATGGGGCAGTGAACAGTGGGTACACTGATGCCAGAGCCTGGAACCAAAAACCTGTTTATTCCCAGATATGCGTGTAGAGGTCACTTCCAGAAGAGCACGTTCCAGAAGAGCAGCCAGCAGGGGTGCAGGCCGAGGGCGAGCACTGGGAAGAGCCAGGAGCCGAAGCTGTAGTGGTCGAGCACACCCTGGGCCAGAGCTGCCAAGAAGAGCTGCCAGCCCTCGGCCAGGGACAGTGGGGCCTCCTGCAGCTCCCTCCACATGAACAGGCTGCCCAGGAGTGTGGCCGCCGGGCTGCTCAGCACCAGGAGGGCAGCATAGAATGGCCTGGAGGGGGGTACATGTGTCAGGGGGAACTGGAGACAGAGACAGTGAGAGACAGACAGAGAGACAGAGGGGAGGCGCAGCTCCAAGCAGGAACCAAGTGCAGAGAGCAGGGGACTAGTTAAGGTGGGGCCTCAAGGTGCGGGGCTGAGAGATGAGGAACTCTGAGGGGGCATTAACAGACAAAGAGTGAGGGTGCTCCAGGGAGGGGCCTCTGTGGGGACACAGTGTGGCAGTGGGCTGAGTGGCACACACCGGGGCCCGTGGGGCTCGGTAAGCACAGCAGCAGGCACCATGGTGGCTGCCAGCAGGAAGCCCAGTGCGAAGTTGGTGAGGACAATGCAGGCCAGCTGCAGGGCCAGGTAGATGAGGGCCACCAGCTTCAGTGCCATCCAGCCTCTGTCTGTAGCAGGTGTGCTCATTACCCTGGAAGATGAGTGGTTCAGAGGCTGCGCTGGGGCCGCCCGGAGGTCGGAGGGGCCCTGCTGTGGCCCTTACCTGTGGGTGTTGTGCGGGAGGGCTAGGCCTGCCGCGTAGATGGCCAGCAATGTCAGCACCACGGCCTCAGCCTCGGCCACGGGGAAGTGCTGAGCAGCAATGTGCTGGCCCAGCACAGGTAGGACGTAGAGTGCCAGGCCCACAGCCTGAGAGACCAGCAGGGGGGCCACAAGCGAGGCCAGCCCCACGCCCTGCAGGGCACAGGGTGCATGGAGAGGAACTGCAGGCAGTGCACTCCCCAGGCAGTACTCCCTGGAGACCCTCCCCATCAAGGAACCCCAGACCTTTGCAGGTTGTAGATCCTGCGGGGGTGCAGTCACCTGTGTTGCAGGGAGAGGGGGTGCAGGTCCAGAAGTTCCCACGGTCTCCTCTGGGCCTGCTCCGGCCTCATGGAGCTGCATCCATAGTTCCAGAGCGTGGCCCCGTCAAGGATCCTGACAGGAGAGCTGGTGGACCAGCTGGGAAGAGGCCCAGGGATCAACCCCACCCTGCAGTAGGACCCAATGGACAGCTGGGAGGATATCTTGAGCCCCAGGACAAGGAGCAGGAAGCCGACAGCAGGCATGTAGAGGCCGATGGACACGAAGCGGGAGAGGGCAGGCAGCAGATAGAGAAAGAAAGACTGGTGTAGGCGCTCCAGCAGGTGGTTGAGCTTCCGGAACATGCCCTCCAGGGCCCTGCCGGCATAGGTGGGCAGTGTCACAGGTGGTTCCCTCAGAGGTCAACACCCAAGCCTGGGCATGAGAAGGGGGCAGGTACTCACTTGCCAACTGTCACTAAGTCGTACTTATACTGCCGGAAGCTGTTGATGCCCCTCAGCGTCAGGGCCTCTACACGGTAGCGTAGGAAGAGGCCGTGGGGGCCGTGGGGGCGACCTGAGGCCTGTCTCAGCACCATCAGTAACAACGTCTGCAGCCCCTGAAGGGGCCCGTCCAGTGACGTCCAGTCCTGGGACTGCAGCTTGGGAGTGTGAGGGCAGAGTCAGACAAAGCCTGCATTGTCCCCACCCGCTCCTCTGGGGGGAGCCCACCTTGCCCTGCAGTGTGCACAGCAGCCCCCCTTTCTGGCAAAAGGTTTGGAAGAGGTTGAGCAGGTCAAGGTTGGGCAGCTGCCCGTTGAGTCCCTCCACGGCCACATCCAGGCTTGTGACCACATCACTGCTCAGCTCGACAGCCACAGCTGCCTGGATGGCCCCAGCACGGCCCTGCAGTGGTGAGGACTGCATACCTGTTGGGGTGGATAGGCTGCCAGTGAGGGCCAGTTGGGCCCAGGAGGATAACAGGCCACCAGTGAGGGCTGGCAGGGCATAGGAAGGGGCACCCACCGGTGACATTGACATCATGGTACGCCTCAAGCCAGGCCTCGGTGCCCAGAAGATCATGCTCGGTGACCAAGAAGATGATGTCCTTGGCCCAGTAAATCTGTCCTGAAGACCAGACACATAGCTGGTTAAGGCCTGAAGTAATGCCCTGACCCCTCCTATTGGGCAGCCTGGGCCTCACCTCGGAAGTGGGCAGCGAGTGCCAGCAGCAGCCCCACTGCCTGACTGTTGGTGGAGTCGGAGCCACAGGGCACAGTGAGGACCAGGGACTCGGTGCTGGCCGCACGTGGGGCCCGCAGGATGCCATATACGTTGTTACCAGACACCATCTGTGCGGAAGTGGAAAGTGGGCAGTGCATACCCATCAGAGGCCTGAAAAGACCCCTTTCTGGCCCTGGGACAATCCCAACCAAGATTTCCCAGCCCCAGGAAACGTCTCCATTGAACGTCCTAGTCCCAGGACCCCCGGCCTGCCCGAGTCACTCTCCCCCACATGACGCTCTGTGATAGCCGCCACTACCCCCAAATACATAGCGCTCGTTGGTCTCGTCCGGGAAAGGCAATTTCCGGGAGAAGGTCTGCGTATACACTTCCAGCCCCACTGACCGCATGGTCCGCTCCAGCCAGGCCACTGGCAGAGCCCTGGAGGCACAAGGAAAGCGCCTGAGCAAGGCTTCCCGGCCGTGGACGCAGAGTTGCCCCAGGACCACGGCTGCGCCACTCACCCCGACTTTCGGCGGTGGGCAGCAAAATCGCGGGCAAAGCCCCGGGCCCGTTCTCCACCTGCAAACTGCTCCTCCACCATGGTGGAGCCCATGGCGTTCTCCGACATGTAGGTACGCTGGGTCAGCGGCGGGAAGGCCAGCGCCACAAACCAGGCGATGCCGGCCACGTAGCTCAGCACGCTGCGGGAAGAGGTGACAAAGGAGCCACGGGCCAGCTGGCGGGACCCGGGGCCGGAGGCCGGGTCCGGGGGCCAGGCGGGAGGGGAGGCAGCCGGCAGAGGATGCAAGCGGAGACCGGGGCGGGGCGCGAGCAGCTTGAGTCCCGGGCGAGGGGTCCCTGCCTCCCCAGGCCCTGTGCTCACCAGAGGGGTGCATTGAGCCGCAGCACCAAACGGGCGAGCGCGCGCCGGCGCACCGGGTCCGACAGCAGACCCATGGCGAGAGCCTCAGGTCGGAGGCCGGCGGCAGCCAGCGGTCACGCCCGCCGCTCGCCAGTCCCGGCGGCCACTGGGCCCGCGTCTCATGCTCAGCACAGAGCTGGGGGCGGGTCCGGGCGAGAACGCGCGTGCTCAGCACAGAGCTGGGGGTGGGTCCGGGCGAGAACGCGCGTGCTCAGCACAGAGCTGGGGGCGGGTCCGGGCGAGAACGCGCGTGCTCAGCACAGAGCTGGGGGCGGGTCCGGGCGAAAACGCGCGTGCTCAGCACAGGGCTGGGGGCGGGGCGGAAACGCGCGTGCTCAGCACAGAGCTGGGGGCGGGGCGGAAACGCGCATGCTCAGCACAGAGGTGGGGGCGGGTTCGGGCGAGAACGCGCGTGCTCAGCACAGAGCTGGGGCGGGGGCAGGCCCAGGCTGGTGTCCAGAGTCCGAAGTGGGGAACAGGGCCAGCGACCGAGGAGAGGACGAGGGGCGGCAGCAGGCAAGGGGAGAGCGGTAAAAACTGTGAGCAGTGACCGAGGTGGCAGCGGTGGGATGGGAAGTTCTGGCCCGAGGCTGGTTGTCCATTGCTGGCCAGAGAATTGGAAGGGTTATACAGCCGGTGGGTGAAGGAGCACTGACACTGAGGGCCGAGCTATGGTCAGCGGTCGGCAGGATATCGGGGAGCGGCAGCCCTGGGTGACGCTGGGGTTGATGGTCAAGCCTTGGAGGGTCTCTGGGAGGTGGAGCTGCCTTCAAGGAACATGCAAAGATAGCCGCTGTCCAGGGAGCTCTGGCGGCCTAGTGACAAGAAGCTGCACTGCAGTCCCAGAGGTATGTGGTTCGAATCCACCAGGTGCTCTTCTGCTGGAGAAGGAGGGGCAGTCTCCTTCTGTACCTGTCAGATCTGATTTGACGGCGCGCGCGCGCACACACACACACACACACACACACAGCTGCTGTCCCAGGGTTGGTCAGCGCACCCGCCAGGGCAGTACAGAGAAGCGGTCCATTTGCTGCCCCACTCCCCCCTCAGCCCGGGGCCCTGAAGTGGGGGGGTCTGACAGCTCCTGCAAGTCCAGCCTTGTGTTAACTACTCTGAGCCTTTCCTGGCCACACTGTTCTCTCCACCCAGGGAACTCACGCTGGCCCAGCTCGGGTCTTCAGGTCAGAACCAAAGCTGCAGGTAGTAACAAAACGTTAAGAGGGATCTCCCAGGCAGGCAGAGCGCAGAAGTGTCAGTGAGGGTGGACACAACGCAGGACCAGGGCAAGCAGAGCTTTATTCAAGGGGTGGGGTCAAGTGGTCAGTCTCCCAGCAAGAGGGAGGCCTCGCACACATGCTGCCGGACCACACGGTCCAACACAGTGTGCACATCGCGGGCAGCCCGGGCAGCGGCCTCCAGAACCTGCTCCAGGTGGTCCTCATGTAGCCGGGCATCCATCTCCAGTAGTGCAATCTGGCCCGAGGCTGGTAGCAGGGCCAGGGCCAGCTGGGGGCCGCCAGCTGCTTCCTCCACGTGGCTCAGGTCAGCCAGGGCTGTGCCATCCACAAAGCCAGCCGAACAGGCACACACAAAGTCCCTCATGGGTATTCCGGCGTCCAGCACTGCCAGGGTGGCTGCATTCACACAAGCTGCATAGGTTCCACCATCTGCCTGCAGCACCTACAGGAGCCCTGGCCTCAGTCCATCAGGGTGCTGACACCCCCCTGCACTCCCACCTCTGCTGGGCTGCTCACCTGCACATAGATGTCAATCTGGGAGCGAGGGTGCAGCTGGGTGAGGATGGCTGCCTCGAAGGTTTGGCGCAGCTGCAGGCCCATCTCACAGGACTTGCGGTCCCCATGTGGCCGCCGCTTGCGCTCCCCCGTGCTGAAGGTCGCTGAGCTGAACTGGCAGTTGACCAGTGCCCGGTCAGGCAGGGCTCGTGCCCGGGAGCCCCGGATCTGGGGAGGAAGGGTACATGAGTCAGGGCCTGCTCGCCATGTCACCCCATCCTCTGTGGCTCAGGCTCACACATCAGTGGCAGTTATTTTATGTCAGCAATGTACCCTGAAGGAGGGCAGCCAATCCAAGTGACCCTCGCTTCTGGCAATGCACCTCTCTCCACCTGGCCACGCTCCACCTCCTCCATGCTCGACATGACAAATCCCTCACAAATCTTCATTATGTACCATTGAGGACACTCAGCTGACCCTCCACGAGAAAATTTTCTGCCTCCTGAGGAGACTGATCTTCTCCTGTGGAGTAGGACCCACAGTCCTCACCAAAGCCATCAGTTCCCTTCCCTTTGAAGGGTAAATAGTCCCAAACCCTTCTCTGTCCTGCAAGGTCTGGATTCCTCTCCTCCCTGGAAAACACTCAGTCTCATTTGGAATTATCCCTCCTCTCCCAACCTGTAAGGAACCCTGGTGGCACAGTAATTAAAGAATTGGACTGCTATCCAAAAGGTAAATGGTTCAAACCCACCAGCTTCTGTGCGGGAGGAAGATGAGGCAGTCAGCTCTCATAATGATCCACAGCCTTTGAAACCCTGTGGTCAGCTCTTAGCCAGAGCTGCCTCCATGGCAGAGGGCCCCCAAGCAGCGGCCCCTGCTGTGCACTCACACCACGCTGGTTCCTATCCTTTTGGCCTTTACCCTTCTGCCCAGATAGCTGGCTCACACACTCTCCAAGCAGATACTTTCTACAGCATAGATGACTATGCTAGTGCTGCTTTCAGTGTTGGGAATATGACAACGAAACAAGACTGTAAAGTGTCTCCTGGGAGTTTACACTGCAGTTGGTAGGTGCCGTCTAGTGGTCTGGCTTGACACAACCACGGGGTAATTGAACCTGCTCTTAGAGCTGCTGGTCAACTTCTTTTTCGGTGACCCTTTATTTTATCAAGCACAGTGGCCTTCTCCAGAGACCGGCTGCTCCTGATAACACATCCAGTTGTATGTGAGACAGTTACAACGTCCTTGCTCCTAAGGACTACTCAGGTGCACTTGTTCTTCTAACAGTTACAGTAGATTAAGTGTTTGTGGCCAACAGAGAAATGCAAAGCATCAAATTATTCTTTGTTCACTGTACATTGCTCTTTTTTTCCAAATTTTTTTTTATTCTTATTTTGTGTGTACCGTTAATTCAGATCTGACTGGTATAGGAGGAGATTGTCCCTCCTTCTCCAGCCGAGCACCTGGTGGATTCAAACCACGTGCCCCTGGGATTGCAGTGCAGCATCCAGCCACTAGGCCACCAGAGCTCCCTCTGTACAACGCTCTTTAAAGAACTCTTGCAGTAGATTTGCCCACTGTGAAAGCTGAGTTCCTGACTGCTGTTTCCTCAAGTGCTGGCTATACTTTTAGTCATGATATAAAATTAAATCCTCTGCTTGATGAAGCATCATGTTACCTACTGGTCCGGTTGTGAGAACTTTTGTTTTCTTGATGTTGAGGTATAACCATGCTGAAAGCTGTAGTCTTTTTTCAGCAAGTGCTTCAGGTCTTCATTTTCTGCATAACATGGTTACTGAGTCCAAGTCTGTCTAGGCAAGAGTACAGATGCTCTGAAATTGCAGTTTTTCACCATCTTGTTAGCTGACCCTCGAGTGCCCGTCTTCCTCCCGGTGGGTCAGAACCATGTGCCTTTCCTTTGGGTTGGCAGCACAGACAAAGCTCCTAGGCTAGGACCCAGTCAAACGCCTCTGCACAGTAAAAATCCACAGGTAAACTTTTTTTTCAGATATATTCTACTTTGTTTTGTCTTTAATATTTTCTGCTTTCGCCCAAGATCTTTCTGACCTCAGCAAAGTAACAATCTTCCTCCCTTGTCCTCTTAAGTATTGACCTTGAACTTCTGGCAGTCCCTATCCATGTCCTGCTGTAACTTTTCTCTGTTGGTTATTTTAGCCAAAGTTTACAAATCATACTAGTTTTCCATTCAATCATTCATGTTTTGTTTTATAATGCTACAATTAATTGCATTATAATGTCTAATCAACTTATTTTATTGCCTTCTCCTCACCCAATTTGCCAATTTTTTTAAAGTTTTATTCTCCTTTCCCGCCCTTCTGATCCCTGTTAGCCCTCCCAGATTGACTCCATGCATAAACTTTTCCTGAGTTTTTTCTATTAGTTTTTTCTTATACCTGACTTATGTCACGCAGTATATTTTATTCTACATTCATCCATAATGTGCAGTATTTCATGAATTCTTGTTTTTATTGATGCATACATACTCCATTGTGCAAATGTATCAGCTTCTTTAGTCATCTCTATGTTGATGAGCACATGGGAAGTTTCCAATTCTTTGCTGTTGTAAATAACACTGCAGTAAATATGAGTGTAAAGTCTATCAGTTTATGTCACAGTTCCTACTTCTTTGGGACACATACCTACTACTTGGATTGCTGGAATAAATGGTATGTATCTATTCCCAAGGGCAGAAAATCAAACACTGGAGCCTTCAATATAGACTGCATCTCAACATTAAGAAAACAAAAATTGTCCAGCAAACAACAAATTCTGGTGAGGTTGTGGAGAAACTGGAATCATTATTCACTGTTGGTGGGAGTGTAAAATGGTGCAACCATTATTGAAGCAGTATGGTGCTTTCTCAAAAAGCTGGAAATAGAAATACCATTTGACCCAGCAATTCCACTACTGGGAATATACCCTGAAGAAACCAGAACTGCCACCTGAGTAATTACACATACACACACACACATGTTTATTGCAGCTTTGTTCACAAAAGCAAAGAGTTGGAAACAACGCAAGTGCCCATCAACAAATAAACTGATAAAGAAGCTGAGGTATATTCACACAATGGACTATTATGCAGAACTGAAAAAAAAGAACTTGTGAAATATTATACAAAATGGGTGACTATAGAGGACATTATGCTGAGCGAAATATCTCAGTCCCAAAAAGTAAAGTATGGCATAATGCCACTGTTATAAAATAGGACTGACATAGGGGTTGGTGAAAAACTAAGAGGGGATAAATAACGTATGCGGCGTTGAAACTGATGAGGAAGAGAACTGTATAAAAGGAATATATGATTAGGTATTATTGGCATGACAAGAGTCCAGAATAAGAGCTGTATAGTAAAGTGGTCCGGGGTGGGAGGGTGACGGGGACATAGGAGTGTATAACAATGAAAGAACTTTTTTCCCCCCAAAGAAAAAAAGCGATCTGGGTGGGGGGCATGGAGGAAAATGTGCAATAATGAAGGATTGGAAACCCAGGTTCTTTATAAACTTTCATTAAAATCTCAATAAAAAACCAAACAAACAAAAGTCCTCACCATTAGACCAAGAGGTAACATCATGATAGATGGAGAAAAGATTGAAACTGTCAACACACTTCATTTTACTTGGATCCGCAATCGGCACCCTTGGTATCAGCAGTCAGGAGATCAGGAGACCCACTACACTGGGGAGAGTCTGCAGTCAGGGACCTTTCCAAATTAGGAGCAATGATGTCAGTTTGAGGACTCTGGTGCACCTGATGCAGATGCTCAAGCTTCATCTCGTATACTTTGGGCATGCTGGGAGAGGCTAGTCTTTGAGTGGGACATCATGTTTGGGAAGGGTGGAGGGATGGCAAAGGAGAGGAAGACCCTTGACCAAGTGGTTTGACAGCAATGGGCATGAGTGTGTCAGAAATCATAAGGGTGGCACAGGATGATAGGTCAGGGTTCAGGTCTGTTCATAGGGTCACTATATGAGTTGTACTCGACAAAGCCTAACAACATTCTCAACTTCCCAAGTAAGCGGAAAACCGCTTTCTATTGTGCAAAGATTTTTGAGTTCTCTTCAAGATTTTGCTTACATGTGATTTTTAAAATTTTTATTGTATTATTTTTACGTGTACCGTCAAATCAGATCTGACTGGTACAGGAGGAGATTGTTCCCTCCTTCTCCAGGAGAGCATCTGGTGGATTTGAACCACGTACTTCTGGGATTGCAGCTTACATGTGATTTTAATGACATTGTTAATGTCTCCGTTCTGTGGGGTCCCGTCCCTTTCTGTGGATTCGCTCAGTGCTGTCAAGCTGGAGTTGACTAATGGCTGACTCTCCAGAGAGTTTTCAAAGCCTCTAAATTGCACACAGGAGACTGCCCATCATTGGGTGGGTTCCAACTGTCCCGCACCGGGGCTCCTCATCTATGGGCTAGCAGCATACATTTCGACTGGACTATCAGATCTCCATCAGGATTGCTGTTCTTTGAAGGGCAGATATAGATCTCTCCCAGCAGCCGTCCTTCAGTGCGGTAGGCAAATTTCATCCATTTGAGAAAGATTTTCAAAATAACTGCTGTCCAAGGTTATGGACGCAGAAAGGCCAAGGAAGGGATGCAAGTATGTGTCTGTAGGGGAAGATCGGCCATGTGGGTAAGGTGTCATCCTGACGGACTGTGGGCAGAGAGGGGCGTGCCCGCACAGTAACAGCACGAACGGGTGGAGCACGGGCCTGAGGCCGATGAGGCCGCAGTGAGAAGCCCTGCACAGGCTTTTGACTTTTACTAAGAGACACGGCCCTCGGGCCTCCGCCCCCCGCCCGCTCCCCGCCCACTCGCCTCGTGCGGCCCGTACACCACCGCCAGCGCCTTGGTGTTGCCTTGCTCGATGTAGGCCGAGCCGTCGGCCTGAGCGAACACGCCCATCCGCGCCTGGACCTTGCGCAGCTCCCCCGCGCGCCGCCCGTCCACGCGGTAGCCCTGGTCCGACAGCAGCTCCAGCCCCGCCATGCCGATGGAGACGTCCGCGCAGGCCAAGGGGAACTACGCTTCCCGGCGGCCCCACTTCCGCCTTCTGTACGAGCTACTTCCGGCGGGCCGCTTGCGTTTCCGGTCCATTGGCCTAGGCTTTCCGGTGGTGTGTCATTGCCGAGAACTTCGGTTCTGGTGACCTGCCCGCCTACTCAAGGCCGGGACGGAATCCTGGATCCACAGCCGTTTTCCAGCCTTCCCGCACCCGCTCGCTCACTGGTCGGGTTCTTTTTAGGGTGATTATTTTCTCGGTTCCTTTGTCGTCCCCGCTCTCCTCATCTACCGTAGTAACATCGCTCTTTCTCCTTCATACTGCCGACAGATCACATAAGAATCATGCGGTTGGCCACACAAACGCTCTGCAATCTCTGGCTAGATTTTAGGATTTTTTTTTTAAATAAATTGCTTTAATAATATTTTAAAAGAGAAATGTGCCCTTTTAGTCTAAGACAATTGAAAGAGACATCTATCTAGTTGGAACGCTGTTCTGAAGGACTGTAAGAAAGTTAACTTTCTAACCCTTCTCAGGTAGAAGCCGTAAAACTTCACAGGACTATGAGAAAGCTAACTTTTGACCCTTTTTAGAAAAACAAGACCATAAACTGCTTAGAAAACAGGGCCATAAACCGCCCAGAAAAACAAGGTCCTAAAACGGCTCGCCCACATCTGGGAGCTCAGGTAAGGAAGGAAATACCAGGAGTTGTTTTTCTGAAGTTTACCCCCCCCCCTTGCGCCGACCCCACTTGCCACGCACGCCAGATTATTACCAATCAGAACTGCCTACCTCAGTGTGTATTCAAATACACCAATCAGCAACCCTCCCTTGTGTTGACCCATGTTTGCACGGGTTATTGCCTTTATAAGCTGTGTGTACCCCTAGCTCAGGGCTCAACTCCTCTGTCTCTGCGTAGGTTATGAGTTGTGCCCCAGCGTGCTGGAAGAAATAAACACCTCATGCTGTTTGCATCAAGGACCATCTCTCCTGAGTGATTGGTGCTGGCATCCGATATCATTGGGGTCCAGCTCTGCGGATCCAACAGTTCTTTTTCTCTGGGTAATTAAAAAAAATGAGATAGTTAAGAAATTCCTCCCCAGATCCTTTCAGATAAGTCAGCAGAGCTCTCATGAATCACTAACTGATGGCTTGATACTATGTACTGCATGTAACAAGATGTGTTCAGGTCATCTCGTGGCAAGCAGGGTGTGGCCAGGGAGTAGAATTTCTAGAAGAAAACTTCCCTCCAGAAGTAAATACTAGGGATTTAAAAATAATCCTGGTCAGCGTGTGCACTGCTGCCTATCTCTCCTGGACTTCTGGCCCTCAATGAATTTCCATGGGTTGGACGTTTAGAATGTCTTTTTCTAAACTCTTATATCTGCAGCAAGGAGAAATGTGAGGGACTCCTTTTTTGGCACATCCTGTCTCTCATTTCTTAGTGGTGAATGGTGTGTTTGTGAGTGAGTTGTATATCTAACCTCCACTAACTTCCCTAAAAAGAGGAATCTCTATCAACTTCAACCTAAGCAGCATAGAGACGATTCTAATGAGGCCAGATAGGACGCTGTACCCCAAACTCCATGGTGTTGGTGCCTAGACGATTCTATGCCTTGCAAAGTGGCACGGACTTTTCTCCTACTAGCAAGAATGACCAAATGGGAGACAAAAATTTTCTTTCACACAAGCAAAACACTTATTAAAAGAGGAAGAAAATCCCAGCCTGTCGCGGGCAGGGGCTGGACGCTGCGGAAGCCGAGCCGGGGCACGGAGTGCGGATAAAGGGCTCTCCCAGTGTCGCGGTCAGCGTGGCCGCTGGGCTTCCTCGGAAGACGCCTGAGGGAGTCATCGCCTCCGTTCCCCCATAGCGCACCTGGTCCAGCCGACCACGCACTTTGCCCCGTGGTCCCGTGCCCGGGTACTAGAGTCTTTGGGGACACAATCACGGAAGCTCTGCAGACGAAATCCAGCAGGTCATCTTCGTCCCTCAACTTCGAGGCCCCGCCATGAAGGTGAAGATCAAGTGCTGGAACAGTGTGGCCACTTGGCTCTGGGTGGCCAACTACGAGAACTGTGGCATCTGCCGGATGGCCTTCAACGGCTGCTGCCCAGACTGCAAGGTTCCGGGTGACGACTGTCCACTGGTGTGGGGCCAGTGCTCGCACTGCTTCCACATTCACTGCATCCTCAAGTGGCTGAACGCGCAGCAGGTGCAGCAGGTGCAGCAGCACTGTCCCATGTGCCGGCAGGAGTGGAAGTTCAAGGAGTGAGCTCCCTCCTTCCCCGCGGGGCTCAGCCTGGACTGCTCAGCCTGGACTCCCGGTCAGGACCTGGACTGTCAGCCTCACTCTCTGCCTCCACCTTGGGGGGCTCACTCCTGCTCCATCCTGGGGGAGGTCCATTCCCCCCTCATCAGCCTGGACTCAACTGTCCACTCCATGCTCTACTACCACCACTGGGAGACTAATTCTCAGCCTCGCTCTCCAAGGGCGACTCCCCGCTGCTCCACTTGGAGTGGGCTCATCATTCCCCTCGCTCAGTGTGGAATTCACTGTCCAACTGCCCACTCTCCAAGGTCATCACCCAGCTCACCCTAGACTCATTGGCCTCCTATCCCAACCCGAGGAATTCATCCTGCAGTCCAGTCTGGACTCGCTGTCCGTCTCCATCCCCAGCTGGACTGAGAATCCCTGTGTCTGCACTGGGACCCAGAGCCTTGGTGGGGACAGCTCCCTTCTAGCTGTGCTGGGTTGAAACCAGGACAGCAGTTGTTTTTCCTGTGACATGTTGACACTTTTATTCACTAAGTGATACTAATTAAAGTCTCTTTAATGTTAAAAAAAAAAAGAGGAAGAAAAGATACTATGAAGGTATTAGGACTGCAGAGCCCTTTCCTTCCTCTCCCAGAATGGCTGCTGAAAAAATCCAATCACAGGAAGCAGCAGCTGTGCTTTTTCTCTCTGTCAAGGATGTGAAATTACCCTACCCGCCTTCCCAGGAATAGTTAACTGAGACCCCAGCCTACATCCCTATCTTATAGGAAACAAGCATCCTCTTCCCCAAGTTCCTTGTAAGATAATAGAAAACCCCTCTCTAACTTTTACTGGGAGCTGGTTTTCTGCTTGAGAGCCAGCCAGTTAGTTTCTCCTCAATAAACTTTCTTGGCCTGAACTGGGTTCTGTCCTTCCTCAGTGACTTTACAGAAGGGAGACGGGAAGTGGTAGAGTGGCAGGAAGAAGACCTCACAACGCAGCTACCCGAACAGAAAATAATGCACTGTTATAAAGGGACCTAGAATGAAGAGACTCATGTTTATTTCCACTCCTGAAAAAGGTGATCCAACAGAGAGTAAATTGTCAAACATTGTCACTAATATCACACATAAGCAAAATCCTGCTAAAGATTATTTTAAAAATGACTGAAACAGTACATTGAGAGAGAACTTCCACAAATACATGCTGGCTTAGTAATGGCCCCAGCACTAGGGATATCATTGCTAATGTCAGAGGGATCTTGGCTGAAAACGGAGAGTACTAGAAGAATGTTTACTTGTGTTTTATTGACTATGCAAAGGTATTTGACCCTGTGGGTCACAATGAATTGTGGCTAACCTTGAGAAGAATGGAAATCCCAGAACACCTGATTATGCTCATATGAAACCAATACTTAGACCAGGAAGCAATCATCAGAACAGACCCAGGAAACACTGCATAATTAAATAATAAAAAAGAGTGCATCAGGGATGTATCCTTTCTCCATACCTCTACAATCTATATGTGGAACAGATCATTCAAAAGTCTGGACTTTATTAGGTGGAGTGTGGCATCAGGATTGGAGGAAGACTCATCAAACTGCATTATGCAGATGGCACAACCTTGCTTGCTGACACTGAGGAGGACCCGAAGCATTTGCTACACAAGGTCAAGGACTGTAGTCTTCAATATGGATTGAAGCTCAACATTAAGAAAACAAAGGTCCTCACCACTGGGGCAATTGGTAGCATCATGATAGATGGAGAAGAGATTATGATTGTTAACAATTTTAGCTTGCTTGGCTTTACAATCAACACTCATCAACAATATCAGCAGTCAGGGAATCAAAAGGCAAATTGCATTGGGAAGTCTGCTATCAGGGACCTCTCCAAATTGAAGAGCAATAATGTCAGTCTAGAGACAAAGGTGCCCTTGATCCAGGCCTTGTCTTTGTGATTACTTGCTATGCATCAGAGCTGGACAATGACTAAGGAAGACAGAAGAAAAATTGATGCCTTCTAGTTGTGATGCTGGAGAAGAGTATAGATCACCAAGAGAACAAACAGGTCTGTTGTCTTCGAAAAGATGAAACTAAGCTGCTCTTTGGAGTCAAGGATTATATCTATGTTGTTGTTATTAAGTGCCGTCAAATTGTCGATGGCTCATAGCAACCCTATGAATGAAAGACCTGAACACTTTTATAACTTTCTTCATTTCTCCAAGTTCATAGTATTTCTGGAGGCAAGCTATTTCAGAAGTAGATGCCACTCCTGCTTCCAAGCTTGTTTTAATTGGAGAGTTCCACCAAACACTGTCCACCGTGGGTAACCATTATTGCATTTGACACATCAGTGTCATAGTGTTCAGCATCACAGCAACAACGAGTTACCTCTGTACAGCAAATGGACAGACCAGTGCTATACTAATTAGAAGAATGTTTGAAAAAAAAACCCCAAAAAATTATAATCTGTATATTAATTTTTCATTGTTGAACATTTTCTTTCCCCCAAAACCTACCTCACAATGCACCGAAAGGAGAAAGATGGGCAGTCTCCTCCTGTGTGATTTACTGCCTTTGAAGACTTAGTAGAGGGGGTCAGCTGTGATTCGTTTCTGAATGGATGGGCTACAACAACTACTTAGAGGCCAGCCCTCTTCTGAGCGCTGTGTTTCTGCGCATGCTCCAGAGTATCGGTGGTCTCTTCCATAGGTAAAACCTGATACTTAGAGACTGAATCTGATTAGT